GTTGATACTCCTAAGAGGAGATAATTTTACAAAAAATATTCATCGGTTCTGCACTTAAAATATACAATAAACTGCTTAGGGGGTCACCCTGCCTTATTCCAGTGAAAAGTCTAAAAAAGGGCGACTTAATACTTTGGCTATTAATTTATAATCTGTATTTAAGAGTGTGATAGGCCGGTAATTTATTGGAATTCTCCTATCACCCTTGTTCTTATAAATAAGTGTAATCATACCCTGTCTCATTGTACGACTTAGTGAGCCTTTATGTTGAATACTTTCCAATACTTTTATGCAAACAGATCCCAGCTGATCCCAAATTTTTATATAGAACAAGGGTGTAAGAGAATCTAGTCCAGGACTTTTACCCTTAGGCATACTAATCAATGCATCCTTTAATTCTAAGAGGCTAATTTGTTTATCACATGAATCTTTTTCTTCCTTATTTAGTGTCTGACTAACTAATTTACATATTGAGTCTATAGCATTTGAGTTTTCAGAAGTATTTTCATCACTATGTATATTGGAAAAGTAATTTGAGCACTCATACACAATAGAACCAGTTTCATTTACAACATCTCCATTATCTAATATTAATTCATTAATTAAGTTATGCTTTTGTCTTTGTCTCTCCAAACCTAAGAAAAATTGGGTGTTTCTATCACTTTCAACATGGTATTTTATTTTAGATCTTAATATAGCACCTTGTAACACATAAGACTATTGTTGGTATGAAAGGTTTATTGGCATGGTAATGGTTGATTAAAACACAGAATACATAAATTAACTTGGCCGTGTGGTATAAAGGTAAACCACCTCCTTGGTTGTTGAGCTGGAACCTCGTCTATTCAAAGGGGTCTCCTGGCTTTATTAAGCTTCAGGGATAATCCTGGTTTCTTATTGGTCAACACGTAAGCGTCCCTAATCTAGGAACCTGATTGGATGATAAGACTTATTTGGCCAAAGGACTGACCATGTGACAGTATTGACATAATGTATAATCTTTTATAACAATTACTAGTAACTTAATTAATGAGTTATATCTGGACAAAGAGTTATTGTTGTCAAAGACAAAAGTTGCTCAAGGCTGTGAAATATTACTTAATATGAATCCCTTTGATCTAGGAGCTGTCTAAACAATGACAATGGACATTTAATTTCAAGTGGCTGGAATGTTAATTAATAAGTTTGACACGTATTGTCATTCCTAATGCATTTTGCTACAACCTTGACATACTTTATTTTCATAGTCACTTAACTGTTGTTCTAAATCTAATATAATATCATAATTACAGTGATTAATAGCAGCTTTCTTATATTCTAAACTTAAGTTATTTTGCAGATTATAAAACTCACTGAGCCACCGCGGCTCCCCATAATTTACTAGAGTGTATATTACTACATATTTAACACTAAATGAAACATTCTAGAATATAATGGGTTTCAGGTAAAACCCAATATGATAAGTATAGAAAATGTATGTTTTTGTTATTTAGAAAATCCAACAACATAATTTAGACTATATAATATTTGTTTCACGAAAAACTCTACACGGGTATCTTGCCTGTATATTATTTGTTTCAGAAACCCTACATGACAATTTAGACTATATAATATTTATTTCAAGTAACAATCTGACAATCAATGACATTCTAGACTATATATTTGTTTCAAGTAAAACTTTACATGATAATCTAGCCTATGTAAAATATGTAAAACCCCACATAATAATCTAGCTAGACGATATATTTGTTTCATACGGAAGTTCAAATACGAATTTGAACTTCGAATTTGAAAAAATACTTTTGAATTTGAAAAAATACTTTTGAATTTGAAATTCAGTGTACCAGTGACCACTTTATGCTGAAATCATATAGAATCCTACCGTTTCCCTCCATGTCTTATGTCTTAGTACCGTGAAGGTGCATTTATACAGAACGCGAACGCGACCGGCGCGAACGCGACTTTTCATCAGTTCAGTCATTCAAATAGAGCGCGAACACGAACGCGGAAAACCGTCGACGGCATGCACCCAAGCCAGCAGAGGACGTTTTAAACAAAGTGTGACAACAGTCAATTAAAAATTAATTAATTAATGAATTGGTCCAATGTTATTTTCTTTATAAGTTCCATACCATTGATGAAACAGGCAAAATAAATTGAATTTTTTTTAATCACACACCTGTCAGTCCAGCCTTCTCTCCGATTCCCTTCCAAATATCTTTCTTTTTTACTGTCTCTTTGTAAGTTTTTTTAGCTTTGTCAAATAAAACTGGATTCTTTTCAACTTCTAAAATCAAAACTTCCGTTTTATCCATTGTTTGTACCCTACAGCAAATTGGAAAAGCCATGTGCACAAGTTTCTATTTTAGGAAATGATGCAAGGGAGGTGGTACAAGCTGATTGGTTGATAGCAAGAAATCCGCCGCGACTTTCTGAAAAATTCGCTCTTGGGGCAATCTCGGTGGTCGACCGCGCGAACAAATATTTGTTCGCGTTCGCGTTCGCATTCTATTTGAACGGCCCCTCTATAAAATGATGAAACCATTCCGCTCTGTATAAATGCACCTTTAGTTCGACCGATGAGACATTAAATTGTACCCCAATGACGAGATTGCTAGTTCAAGAAATTATTCCTAGGAATGAATGAATAGAAGGTGAAAAATTAACTACATTGTACAAACAATGATGTGTAGATGTATGCTCCAAGTGGACATCTAATGAAAGATTTGATTTGATTTTACAGTCACAAATAAGTTTACTCTTTTAGAAGAACCTGATGGTACTTCTCTGTGGAAGAGTCCACTACTATACTACTTTTCCTCTCGATTTTGCCATGCTTTGTGCGAGATTTTGATTTGAATTGCCTTGCTAGTACGGATTTTTATTTTAATTTATACTTTTAAGCTGGTGGTTGGGAACGTACGAGCAATGTGTCCAACTAGATTGGCATAATGTCAGGCCTCTATTGCATGAGATATTATTATCATGCATAATAATTTACTAATTCTAATAAAGTCAAAAGTATTTTTCCAAAGTCAAAAGTTTTTTTTATAAAGTCAAAATGAAAATTTCAAATTAGAAATTCCCAAATTCCAAAACATGTCGTATTTGAGCTTGCGTAGTTTCAGATAAATTAATACACGATAATCTCCACTATAGAATGTTTGTTTAAAAAAAAAACCTTACTTGATAATCTAGACAATACAAAATTTGTTTCAGATAAAACCCTACATGATAACCTGGTCTATTCAGTATTGTAAGAGCG